TGGGAAACATTTTCTCCTCCTGCCCAGCCTGACCCTCCCCTGGGGCAGTTTCCAGCCGTTCCCTCTTGTCCTGTCCCTGATCCCCTGGGAGCAGAGCCCAGCCCCAGCCTCTCTGCAATGTCCTGTCAGGAGCTGCAGAGAGGGATGAGGGCTCCCCTCAGCCTCCTCCTCCTCACCCTGAACACTCCCAGCCCCTTCCCTGGCTCCTCACAGGATTGATTCTCCAGCCCTTCCCCAGCCCCGTTGCCCTCCTCTGCCCTCGCTCCAGCCCCTCCAGATCTCTCTGGGGTTGAGGTGCCCAAACCTGGACACAACCCTCCAGGTGTGGCCTCCCCAGTGCCGAGCACAGGGGACTGTCACCTCCCTGCTCCTGCTGGTCACACCAGTGCTGACCCAAGCCAGGAGGCCGTTGGCTTTCTTGGCCCCTGGGCACGCTGCTGGCTCCTGTTCAGGTGCTGGTCAGTGAGAACCCCCAGACCCTTCTCCCCCAGACAGCTCCAGCCACCCCTCCCCGAGCCGGTAGCCACGCAGGGGGTTGTGGTGGCCCAAGGGCAGGACCTGGCACTTGCCCTTGTTGAAGCTCATCCCGCTGACGCTGGCCACCAAGCCGATCTATCCAGGTCTCTCTGTGGAGCCTCCCTGTCCTCATGAGGATGAGAATGGCCCAAAACTGTGGTACTGTAAGAAGCAGAATTACTGGTCTCCAGGGTGTTTAGTTGGGGCTTGTAATTCCATTATACGCGGGAGGATGCACATACGTGTCCTCATGGGACATGCAGATGTGTGCCAAGGAGTCTGAGCCTGGGGGAATCCACTGACCACTTGTTATAATACTTCTAGTTCCCAGTAACGGGGCCCCAAAGTCATGCTGATCTTCCCTGCGGCGAGGCTGGGTGCACAGTCCCTAACAGATGCCAGCAGTAAACACAAAACCAGTTCTTAACTGTTTAAACCGTTCCTCCAAGGGCAGGCAGTTTATACAGGGGCTGCACCTCTGGGGCAGCTGGAAGAGAACAGCATCCGCTCAAGAGGGAAGAAATCAGCCTTCGAAATGAGCTGCTCTGGGCAGGCGTGGTGCTGCCGTGCCCGACGGAAACGCCGGCATGCTAATTAGTGCATGTTAATTCGGGAATGACGGTTATTTCAGGAAACCTGGTGGTGTGGCCTAACCCGGGCAAAATGTTCCAGGTGAGACAAAGACGAGCCGAGGGAGGGAAGCACTTGTGTTTTGAAGAGAAGACGATGCTTTTGGGTGATGTCTGAGGGCCCAGAGGTCAGTGGTTTGTGCAAGGGGTTCCCCTTGCAGACCCTGGGGGCTGCTTCTGTTAACAGCCCCCCGTTTGGGCACCAGCCCATCTGTGTCTGGGGAGGGTGAACCCTGCTGGCCCCGGCCCCCTCTGCTCCTCACCACACTCATCCTCTCCCTGACGTACACTGGGCCAAGGCCCAAGGGCCAGTGGCCAGCTGGGCCTCCCTGGGGCCACTGCAGTCCCCGGTGGCCGAAGGGACGGTCGCAGAGGGCACTGCCTGTCCTGGCACCCACAGTGACACCAGCAATGCTGACGTAGACGTGGCCAGCACACCCAGCACCGCTCCTCCCTGACGGCTGGTCAGGACAGGACACGACCCTCGCCACTCTTGTGTCCGCAGGTGCCTCAGACCAGGCACCTGTCCAGATCCACGCCCAGACCCCGGGCCCCCTTTGTCCACTCTACAGCTCCAGCCTTGGGTCTTTCCAGGCTCTAGTCTCTTCCCATCCATTAGTGCAGCTCAGTGTCACCATGTCTCACCCGTGTGCCCCCGTACGCAGGGAGTGAGGCCGCTCAGAACAGAGCTGGGAGTGAGTTTCATGACAGACAGGACAGGCTGCGGTGATCAGGAGCGTGGCCAGGCGAGTGTGTTGGCTCCTTTACCAGTCCCCTCCATTTCCCATGCTGGTTCCTCCCTGACTCACCTGGACCCCTCCTTTCCCTTGCCTTTGGGCCTTCTCTAAACATCCCCTAATACATTTTGCACATTGTCCACAAGCCCCTTAAATCATCCCACATCAAGTTTTACACAAGCCCCATCGAACATCCAGCACTGTCTGCTCTTTCCCTGTGAATTTTCGTTCCCCTTCCAGCAGTTCTGCTCAAACCTCTCTCCTCCTGGCTCCTCCTGCCACCCTTCAGCCGCTGTCCTGAAGGTTGTGGTCTGAGTTATTGCCTCCGTTATCCCCTGGGGTTTGGGGTTTGTGTATGTAGGTGTGGTTTGCTTTTCCTTTCTTTGGCCTCTGTTTATATGTTGAAGAGCCCTTGACGAGAAATCCTCACAAACCACGGCTCCTGCGTCGCAGGGAGACATCTATCCTTCACCTCCCATATACCTTTGCCCTGCCTTATATCCTTACTTGTCACATATCCTTACACCAGCAGAAGTGTTTGGCTTGTTCCTCTCTCCTGGCTGGTCTTCTTGGAGTTTGAACCTTGCATAAGACAGTTGGCAGTGGCCACCATGTTGGCTTTACTGGCCAATGGCAACCCCGGACTTGCAGACCCCCCCCTGGCAGAGCATCCTCAGTGTCCTTCTGCAGACGGTTTCAGTTTTCACACTGTAAACGATAGGATTCAGGATGGGTGAGGCGAGGAAATGGAGGTTGGCTGTGAATGTGTAGGCCTGGGGGGACACGTGTTTGCCAAACTGGTGCATGATGGACAGGCAGATCATGGGGATAAAGAAGACCAGGACAGCACAGATATGTGAGATGCAGGTGTTGAGGGCTTTGAGACGCTCCCTCCAAGTTACAGTGTTCAGGATGGTCTTTAGGATGAGAAAATAGGACAGGAGGACAAAGAGCAAGTCCAAAACTAGTGTGGAGAGCAGCACAAAAAGGCCATAGGTGTGGCTAATCCTTGCGTCCGAGCCTGCGTGTTTGATGACGTCTGGGTGCAGGCAGTAGGGATGGGAGAGTTCGCTGACCTTGGTGAGGCGCAGCCAGGCCAGCAGGACTGGGAGTGGGAGCTGGACCAGGGCGCTCCTCGCGGCAATGGCCACGCATATCTTGGTGGTCACGGAGCTGGTGAGGACGGAGGGGTATCGCAGGGGGTGGCAGTTGGCCACGTAGCGGTCGAAGGCCGTGGCCAGAATGACAGCGGATTCGACATCCGCGAAGGCGCCAATGAAGAACATCTGGGCAAGGCAGGCGCCGAGGCTGATCTCCCTGGCCCCCAGGTGCAGTGTCCTCAGCACGGCTGGGAAGGTGGACGTGGACAAGCCCGGGTCGGCCACTGCCAGGGCGGCAAGGAGCAGATACACGCTCTGCCCTGATGATGGAGAGGACGGCCAAGTTCCCCAGGAGGGCCAGGAGGTAGGCAGAGCACAGAGGAACGGCCGACCATGTCCGAGCTGTTTCCCATGCTGGAAAACCACCCAGAGAGAATGAGAAAGTCCTGCTCTGGCTGCCGTTGGTCCTGCCTGGGGTAAAACAGGGATGCTCCATCTCATCCCTGAAGAGCTGCCCTGGAACAAAAGCCAGCAGGGTCACCAGCCACAGGCAGGCTGTGAGAAATAGGGGTGCAGCGTGGGCCCTGCAGTGTGAACCCCGGGTCCGCGAGCCCCTCAGGGCCGAGCTGCAGCCCAGCCGGGCAGGAGCCACGCGGACACAGTCTGAGCGGGCTCGCCTGCCCCTGCTGCGCCCCGACACAGAAACCGCCTGTTTGCCTGGAGAGACAGCACAGGCAGGTCCTGCTTCTGGCTGCCTGGTGTAGCAGGGGCGTGAATGAATTTCTAGAAAAAAAAAAAAAAAAAAAAAAAAAAATCCGTGATAGCTCGTGTAAAGGTCAGTCGAGAGAGAGAAGTGACATTGCAGTTAGAGAGGGCTGTGGTGAGCTCTGCTCTTGAATGTTGGGCTTTTCCTGGCGGTCTCCGGTTAAAGGAGCCGGTAATGTCTGAGGGACGGAGAGCAGTTGGCCTTTTGAGACCAACAAACCACAGGCCATCTGCAAACACACAGAGCAAAAATGGTCTGCTTAAGCTGCAGGACTGTGATGACTCGCAAATCAACGTGTGTAGATTGTACACGGACAAATGTAAGCTGGAAATTGCGAGGACATTGTAGAAAAGGTGGGTGTCCCGGGGCATCCTCCCACCAGAAATACAGGGAGGGGAGATGGAATGGCTTTCGCAGAAAGTTTTCCTTCTGTAAACTCATTCTGCCAGGAGGGATGGGGACAGGCCTCAAGGGCTGTCATCTCTCGAGTCCTCTCCCCGCCTAACTCTGGTCCTAGTGCCTGTCCCCGAAGGAGCCTCTGCCACAGGCGTTCCCCCGCGCCCTCGGGTGTTCCTCCAGGGGCTGAAGGGAGCGAAGCTGAAGCACCCTCAGCATGAATCAGTGGGGGTCACCGAGGGTCCACAGCCCCGCCTCGGCTTGCTGTGCTCCACGTCGGCTTCCTAACATCTTCTAGAGAGGTCTCGCCCCCAGCCTGTCCCGTAAGGACACCCCGCGGGAAGGCACGGGGAGGAAGGCGGTGGGGATGAGGGTGCCTAAGAGGGTTTTTCAGAAACTGCTCTGGAAACGACTGGTTTGGACAGCCAAGTGAGATCTGTGATGGGGGTTTGTCACCTTCTCTGGAATATCCACCTGTAAGGCTAGAAAAGTTTCTGAAAATGTAAAATCATCGCATTTAAAAATACCTACTCTATCTATCTCTTCAGAAAATTGCAGCAGTATTGCCATTCCTCCCTCAAACTCATACGGCTTCTAACCCACTGCGTATCTCTGCCCCTCCCCGTCTCGGTGTGCAGGTTTGTGGCCCGAAGCAGCACCCCTGGATCCCTGCAAAGCCAGGACGAGTCCCAGGGTTTGGCCTGGCCTTGCACACAGCTGCAGAGTTTAGCGTGGGGGGGGCTTTCTCCAGCCCTTGAGTATCAGAGATCATCCCCCACAGCACATGGAGGGGCAGGAGGAGGAGTTACGGGGGAGTTATCTTCAGACACAAACAGATCAGTTAAAGCTGCTCTAATTCCCAGTTCAGTCTCCACCCTGAGAGTACAGGACCTGTCAGAGGTTGTTTTTAATCGCCCTAAATTTCTGGTTCGCCCCATCTCTCCCTCCAGAGCTCTGGCCGTGCTTTTGTGCTAAGGGGAGGTGCTGCATTGGGGGGGTGCACGGAGAACTGGGGGTCTCCCTTGTCTCATCTGCCTTTTATCCTTTTGGATTTATGGAAGAGCCCGAGCAGCCCCCGTGGGAGAGGGCTGGCCTGGGAGCAGGAGGGCTTTTGGATTCTCAGCTCCGAGCAGATGCATTAACCCCGCCGCCCCAGCTCGTCCTGGTTTTGACTGGGATAGAGCTCATTGGGGTTTTTTCCCTTCCTTCTTAGTAGCCAGAATAGTGCTGAGAAGGATGTTGGTAACGCGCTGATGTTTTTAGCTGTTGGTAAAAAATCAACCACCTCAACTGCCCATGTCCTGCCTGCGCGCGGGGGCACGAGGAGCTGGGGGGCAGCGCGGCCAGAGGACGCAGCGTGGCCAAGGAAAGATTCTGTATCGTACAGCACCACGCCGAGGGTATAGATGAGGGTTGATCCGGAGGCTCCACTCGGGTTTGGGGATGGTGGTTTCAGGTTTCTCTCTTCTCTGGGGTCACTGGCTGGGAACAGGCTGGGCGCTGGTCAGCAGGTGGTGAGCAACCACGTTGTGCCTTACCCGCTTGTGCTTTCTATTATTGCTATTATTATTATTATCATTATTATTATCATTATTACTTTAATTTTATTTTCTTTCAATTATTAAACTGTTTTTATCTCAAGCTGAGCCTCCTTACCCTCACCCCTCGGGCTCTCTCCCCCCTGCCCAGGGGTAAGGGAACAAGCGGCCACGTGATGTTTGGCCACGGGTTGGGTGACACGGGTCGGCCCCGGCATGTGGCGCCGCTCCGCACCGTGCCACCGTGCTGCTGGTGGGGGCAGGGGATGGATGCGCCCTGCAGACCCCTTCCCGAGATGCCCCCTCCTCCCCCTCCGTGGTTGGGGTAAAGGAGCTCCCGCTCTGGGGCGGGGTGGTGGGCAGATGAGTCCTAGAGGTTGTTCCCAGCCCCACTTCAGTTCTGTGGGTGTGGGAGGAAACTCTGGAAGAGGGCCCTGGTCTCTGGGTTAGACCGGAGCTATGTGGCCTTGGGGCCTGTGCCCCAAAGCGGCCCTGAACAGGTGCCGAGAGAAGAACGTACGAACAGGGCAAGTGTGCTTAGTAATTCCTCCAGCACTTTGTGTTCTAGAGGATTCCTGAGCCAGGACTGGTTCATATATACACCATAGCCCAGGAAGGACTTTTTTCTTCCACCGTTCATTTGAATTTTAATTTTGGTAACTGCAACACACAACGGCAAGAAGATCTAGAGCCACCACTTCATGCTTGTTCTGAATGTGCTTCTCCGGAGGGCTCCTAATTCACGTACTGGGAGAGCTGGCGTACACCTGATCCCTGGCACCCATCTTGGAGTCCCTCAGGGGTGGCTTGTGCTGACAGAGCCACAAGCAGCGTCCGTGGTGTCACAGCTGCCTTCCTGCGGTGCTGCGTGATGTCTTCAACGTCAGGTCATACCTCAAGGGGCTTTGGGCACCCTGCTCTAGTGGAAGGTGTCCCTGCCCGTGGCAGGGGGGTTGGGACCAGATGATCTGCTTAGGTTAATGGTTGGACTAGATGATCTTCAAGGTCTTTTCCAACCTAGATGATTCTGTGATCCTTAAGGTCCCTCCCAACCCAAACCATTCTATGCCTCTGTGATCTTGGTTCTCCAAGATGTGCAGGGTTTGCCTTCCAGGAACTCTTGTCTCAAGTTCTTTGGTCCCTGTGGGACCTTCATCTGAATGGTCCCACATCTGCATCTCTGCTCTCTCCCACCTTCCAGCTTTCTTCTTCATCCACCATTTCAGAACCACTGTCTGCCACCCTGTCCATGTCCTGCTGGCCAGCCTGGGCCACCCAGACCATCAGCCTCACTGGGAATGGGGTGAAGACCAAGGAGATGTGGGTGTGGGTGTCTGACTTGCCGTTAGAAGCAGCACAGCCTGGAGCCCAGCACTGCTCAGGCTGGTAAGGCTGGATGAGCCTCAACTCAGCAGCACCCCCCTTCCCTGCTGTCCCCAAAATGTCCCCCTGAACATCCCAGCTCCCCTCCAGCTGCCCTGGTCATTCCAAGCCCCCGTGGTAACTTGCCCAGCTTTTAGTCCTCCCGTTGGGGTGCTTTGGGGTGCGGAGCCCCCAGGTGCAGTCGCTGGAGCAGTGGGATTTGAGCGACCACTCTGAGATGGTCCTCAGGGACCGGGGCACGAGCACGCCCCTGGGTGACACGCTGAGTTCAGTCTGACCAGAAAAGATGCTCCGGGACATCCACCTCCATCCCCATCAGCTCTGCGTGGGTCTTCCCTGCACAGAGCTCCCGCTCCAGCCGTGCCATGTGGGGCGGGCAGCCCTGCGGTGTCGGAAGATGCTTTAATTCGGGTCGGCAGCATGTCTCGGTGTGATTTAAATCCCCTCTCAGCCCTCAGAAAGGGTCTTGGGAGAGGCAGAAGGTTCATGGGGGTCTCTCTATATCTGGGAATGGATTTTACCGCAGTGCTTGGTGCACTGATGGATGAAGCGTTTTGAAAACAACACGATAATAAAATAAATGCCACAGGAGGATTTCATCTGACTAGAGGAAATGATGAGAACAAAATGCTTTAATGGCCACTGCTGGTGAGGGGGGGAAATGGAATATTTAGTGCTGAACATTGTAGCTCAAGGGCCTCGGCGTGGATGAAGATGGTCAGATTTCAGTTCCTAAAGTTATATTTATTACTGTATTCTTTGGGGCCTGTCTTCCCCCACCGGTGAAACAGTAATGAAGAAATACGGTGCACAGGGATACGGTGAATGCATTTTTATTGCAGGGAGGAATTGCATTAGGGAAATGTTAACTTTAAAGACCTAAACCGCTTGTGCCTGTGCAGTCATTTTGATGGAGGTTTGTTACCGCGGCCATCACGACCCCCCCGGCGGGGAACAAGCCAGGCTGGAGGCACAGCGGGTCCCGCCTGGGGCCGTGGCCCGGGGGTGGTGGCAGGAGCCTTTTTTTCAGAGTTTAACTGAGACAAGCAAACCGTGTTTCCCTTCTGGATACCTGGGTTTAATTTCCACAGCTGCACACAAAAACTGGTGGTTTGTCAAGGGGGGGATTTTGCTCAAGCACGAGCACTGACTCTTCACCCACCCTGGGGAACGAGTCACTCCACTGAGCCAGGATCTCCTCTTGCTCCCAGTTCCTCCCACAGCAGAGCAGAGCTGAAGCAGTTTCTGTAAACCCGGGTGCCTGGAGGTGACGTTAGAGCCTTCCCAGTCCAGACCAGCTCCAAAGGGCTTTGCTGTCTCTGTGCCCAAACGTGCAAGGAGAAGGCACCAGCCTCCCGAATGCCCGTGCGCATGGATGATTTCCATTAAAATCAGTGGATGCGGGAGTCCCTG